GCACACTAGGATAGATAAGATTAGGAATGATGATATTCGGGAGAAGGTGCATGTGGCTCCCATTGATGACAAGATGCGGGAAGCGAGACTTAGATGGTTTGGACATGTTCAGAGGAGAAGCCGAGATGCTCCGGTACAGAGGTGTGAGCAGCTAGTTACGGAGGGCATGAGATGAGGTAGAGGGCGGCCTAAGAAGTATTGGGGAGAGGTGATCAGGCAGGATATGGCGAGGCTCCAGATTTTCGAGGACATGACACTTGATAGAAAGATGTAGAGGTCGGGTATTAGGGTTGTAGGTTAGGAGGTAGTTGAGTCGTGCCTTACTTCATAACATGGTGAGACTAGCCATGTAGGGTTTTTATCTAAGATAACTAGTGGGAATGTTGTGGCTTACTATTTCGCTTTTCAGTGCATGTCCTATTTACTAGCTATCGCTTTTGCTTTAAATCTTTCTTCTAGATTTCATGGTGTTCTTATTTTTCTTATGACTATTGTGGTGATACTAATATTTACTAATATTGTCTCCCTTTACTTTGCATCTTTCTTCTGGATTTCATGGTGTTTCTATTTATCCTATGATTGTTGTTGTGATACTAATATTGTCTCCCTTTTTTTTTTGAGCCGAGGGTCTTTCGGAAACAGCCCCTCTACTCCTTCGGGATAGGGGAAAGGTCTGCGTACACACTACCTTCCTCAGACCCCATTAGTAAAATTTTACTGGGATGTTGTTGTTGTTGTACGTTGGTGATCATTTGTAATTGTAACAGATATATGAAATGAAACTTAACATGGCATTGATGTCATCAATTTACTGATTTGTGTTATATTAATTTTATGTGGTTACATTCAGGGGCGGATTCAGATCAATAGCTACGGGTTTCCATGAACCCAATAGCTTTTATCTAGAGCCTGTATTTGTATTAAAAAATTTATTAAATATATAAGAATATTTAGTCGGAAACTCAGTCCGTTCATCCGATTAGTATTGCAACAACTAATCCGCCTCTGGTTACATTTGTTTAATAATGCGACTTACGTGTTGGGAACGTGCAATCTAGGAGTGCAATGGGTGTGCGTTTTTTTTTTGGTTGGTGATTCTTATTAATGTCTTTGTTTTAGGAGATCGATTTTTATGGCACATTAAAAATATTATTTTGGTTACATGACGGTGTTTGCAGGAAATTGATAAATCAAATTGGCAAGGTCCATTAGAATGTCCAAAATGGATATTATTTAAACTCACATTTTAAGAGTTCTTAAATTTCACCTCTTATTTTTCTCTCAATAAGAGGTGAAACAACAAATGTCCCAAATGCTTAGGGTTAATCTCACTAGAAAATTTGTGTTGAATTCTAAAAATGAATGATTTCGAGTTAATTGTATCACTCCAAACAAAAATATAGCTAAGTTAAAATAGTGATAAACTTTAAAGAACCGTTTTTTTTTTTAATTTCTTATTTACAAATGACCCTCATGGCCTCACCCTATAAAAGTTATTGCAAGCCCTTTTCATTCCTTCTCTTTACATCTCAACCAAACAAAGGTAGCATCTTTGAGATTTATTTAAAAAGGAAAAGCATGGAATACGATACTATAAAAAGAAGAGGCAATCGTTGTACTCCTTCCGTACACTAGTACTACTCTAAAAATAGATATTCACTTTTATTTATCACTTTTTGTATATCAAGAGAAAATAATTTTGTTTTTCTTATACCTACAGTATTAATTACTCATTTCAAATTATATTCTCAAATGCATTAAAAATATACATCAATTAATATGGGTATCATGGTAAATTATGCACTTCATTTATTATTTTTTAAAGGGTGTGCAAGGTCAATAGTGGACAAGTAAAACTAAACGGAGGGATATATAGTAGCCGAGAATTGAATAAGAAAAGTTATAGTTAATTAACCATTTCCACCGCAAAATAAAGACAAACAAAATGAAAATCGCCCTCGTAAGGTATTCCATAGAAAAAAATCTTATTCATATTTGATATTTACTAGTGATAGTTGATCACGCCCAACTATACCTTATAAAAAGGACTAAGCGGTCGTTGCAAATATATTCCGACTAATAAGTCCGGAGTCGAATCCCACATGGAATTAACCTATCAAACACAGCTACCAGACTCGCACGAACTCACACAATCAATCTTCAGAATTATTTAAGTAATAATTTGGATATTTACTAACTAAATATTACGTAATGAAAATGCAACAATTAATAACTAACTACTAACGGGTTATAGACAAGTTGTGAATGATCTAAGGTTGTGATTTTCCCTATTGTCGGAATCTTTTCCGCTACGTTTTCTATAAATTTGTCTAAGTCTTCTCTATCGATCATGAGCACTCTGACTGTCGTAACTCTCTTCCTAGTAATTACCACAATTTACTAGATATATTTTCCCGAATTACGCTAGCTGGCATTAAGTACGGCTCACTCGGATCGCACCAAGGTTTCATTATCCCTAATCCCACCTTTAAACCCTTCGTATTGATCCCTCATATACGTTAGGAGTGATGTTGTTCAACAACTACCTAAATATGCACTCTCTCCCGAGTAATATATACTAAATAGGCACAGCCAATTGAGGGCCCTTCAATCAACCACAATTATATTGTAGTTGAATAAATAGAGAAAATACTATAGCAAATCTATATTAACGTAACAAGAAAATCACTCTTCAATAGGTTCCATCAAAACCTTAGATTAGGAGTTTAGCTACTCACGCTCATAGTAACAATATCCACAATATTTTGCATAATTAAATAACAAAGTACAGATAAAGGGATGTAGAAATCGATGAGTCTAGCTCCCAACGGTTGTTCCACGAGCTATCCTTGCCTCCAATTACCAGGAGTCCTTCAAAAGTGGCGTTTTAGGTCTATTTATATGTGTAGGAAAAGACCTAAACGTGTAGGCCAAGTCCTAGCCAAACCAGGATACGAAATAAGTCTTCAAAGTTCGGAATGTGCGCGCCTCAGACCTGGCCTCGCGAGGCTTCACGCGAGCTGAAGC